TAAATAATGAACATGTTAATATTTTTCATAAGTTGATTTACAAATCTGTTCATAACTTGTTAGCACATGGTTTAGCACAAATAACATGAACACTGGAATCAGAAGACCTGGATTCAAGTCCCAGTTCTCCAATGATCAACCAATGTTACCTTGGGCAAACAATTTAGCCTTTCTAGATTTGTTTCCCTGTTTGGAAAATAAAGAGCTGATCTTTAGATGATATTTGTGATTTATTTTAGCTCTAGGTCCCACGATACTAGGAAAAGGAGTGTTTCCAAGTTTTTAGTCCTTTAGAATGGCAGGTATTAAACTACCAGGCACATATTTAGTGGTAATTCATACCTTGATGACCCAGGACTGGGTGGAGTAGTATGAATCACCCGTGTGAGAACGGGAAGAAAAATGGGAAGAGGGATGTGTGGGTGGTAGATATTTTCTCTGGGTCATTAGTTCATATCTGGTTTAGGCTTCTAGTGACTAACAGTCAATGTCAAGTGGGTTAGTGGCTTAAGAGGAAAGTGGAAAGACTCTGTGGTCTCAATCACATGCCTACTTGCCAAAGTCTATCCTGCAGAAACCACATAATATCAGTATGGTTGAGGGCTTTAGCAAAGGAGCTAAGGACTAGACTTTTACTGGCATCCCTGGGCTAGGTTCAGAGCAGTGTGAGGGAGCATCCATTATTGTAAGGACTGTGTTTGTTTGAGTGGATTAATCCCCTCTCCCCCCTCCCCCAGCAATTTTCAGGGCTTTTAACTAGACACTTCAAGAATACCAAATATACTTAAAAGTTCACTGTCATTTAAAAGGAGAAATGACCTCCTAAATGTAGGTCAGAAAATTTTAATCAGCACTTAACAAAAATGATATCAAGTGAAAATGCATGACTTTATATTTTAGAGAGGGGTGGTGCTGGTGCCAAGTTCATGAATTACTGGCTGCTACCACGAATTACATTAATTTCTTAAATTTTACCATTGGCAAATTCCTTATGAAAATCCACATAGGGATTTTCAAATGTCATTGGAATTTGGAATTAAAGTCCCTGGGCTCAAATCCATCCCCAGTCACTTAGAACTTGGTATGGCTCACATATACTTTTTGCTTTCATGTTCTTAGAACACTTATCATCTTTATCTTAATTCTTTGGAGCCAGTCTGTACCTCAGGCCTAGGTAGCATATTGCTCAGACTAACATATACTTTTACTCATACCTTTCAGTGAGCAAGCTGTTGTCATCATCAGAAGCCAGGTGGATTAGAAGATTTATTTTCATAAAGTTAAGGAACATGTATGTTTAACATGAAGGTATCTTTCATGTATATTATAACTCTGGGGGAAAGAGAAAGGTCTTAGAGGTCTGAAAAGAAGCCAAGAAGTTGTACTACTGAATCTGTGTGGAATATTTTTCCAATTACTTGTTCAGAAGTATTATACTTTCACTGAGCAATGAGAAAGGGGGCAAAACCCATTCTTCATAAAATCTACTACAGTAATTTTCTATGAACAATACTCTTCATTTAGCAAACAGATGAATGTGAAATACTTTCATTTACCATGTTCTCATATTTTAAACAATCTTAGGGGGGTTTTTTGGGGGGGAAGGGAGGAGCTTTGTAAAATTATATAATATCACAATAAAAACTTTAAAGGAAACCCCATGAATGAAACTACCATTATTGGTGTTACTAACTAAGGAATAAATACTTTTGAAGCTAAGGTTACAGTCATTGATTTACACTTCAGTCTCACTTGATCACTATCATATTGAGGACTGAACACTGTACACATTACTACATCTCTCTCTCCTCTCTCTCTCTCTCTCTCTCTCTCTCTCTCATCTGGAACAGTTCATTAGACAGAATGGTTAAATATTTGTCACTTTTTAAAACCCAAAGCTTTGTTCCATTTCCTTATCATTCTTATTAGTTGGGTTTTTTTTTGCTTCTGAAGTATTCACTGTATTATGTTTTTCAAAAGAAAGATGACTTTTTAATATTTTAGAAGAGATGTGGAATTTAAACAATTTTGAGGGAGGTAAGGAACAGTTATAGAATGCTAGTTTCAGAGAGGCATTTCAACATTTAGCCATATTACAGATGTTTAAGGAAAAGAAGACATAATCTCTGGATGAGATCCCTTGAATGAAAAGTGCCTGTGATTACTGAGACTTAGAGTCTTCTCATAGTGCCTTCCTCACAAGGAATCTAAATCAGATTGGTTCAGAGGGAAGAGTCACTATAACCTCTTTTTCTAATCTATCATTTCTGCAGAAGGATCTGAAAGCATCTTTTCAGCCCCCTCCCCTGCTGCTGGATACTGAAGGAACCCCCTGTTACCATATATTTACTAAAAATCCCTTCTTTTCCTACCTTACCATCTTCATTTGTCCTGTCAAATACCTTTCATCTGTTGCAAGGCCAGGTAATGAGACAAGTGGAAAGTGAATATTAGAACTGTGTGTAGTTAACTGAAACTTCTTAGCAACCTGAGCAATGACTGAGTTAATAGTGGATCTTTGAAAACAAGTGACCATGGGAAATTAGGGTTGGCAGGGATTTAACCCTTCATGAATCATGCTGGAATATTTTTTAGGAGCAAGCATTTTAACTGTGTTTGACATCTAATTAGCTAGAAAAAGAAAAGTAGCCAGAAGTCCCAATCATTTTTCAGAAACAAAGTACAGATAATTGAATATAAGACATTTACTTTGAAAAAAAAAGTATATGTGTAGGAAAAAAAGGTAATGACAGCTCAACAAAATGACAGAAGAAAAATTGCTGGACACATTCCTTTTATTCTTCTTGCTCTTGTTCATTTCACAGTTTATTTTACTAAATTGCCAAGAACTGGGCATATAAATAGAACTGTTAGGTAACTGAAGGGTGGTTTTTCTAATTGTGGGTAGTATAATACAAATTAGTTCCACTACTGAGAAATGATTTTCATGAAAGAGTAATAGAAACACTATATCAAGATGTACTTCCTGTTTATTCAAAGAGTTTTAAAGCATACACACCAAATTGCTAGTCTCATTTAATGATGGCCTTTTATTACAGAGGGAATTGGTTCCCTGTAAAATGGAGGATAATCTATTGCCATGGAAATGTGTTATCTTTCTCTTTCTTGGAAGAATTTGGAGGGGGAGAAGTTAACAACTTAATGTGTTTTTCCCATTTGTGCAAGAAATTCTTCAATATGCATTTTTTAGCCAGAAGCACCAACTTGATAATGATTATTCAATCACAGAATCTATTCACAATTCCTAATTTCATGACATCAAAATTCTAGCATAGGACATCTCTCAGTCAAAATCTCAAATAGTACTTATTTATGAGAAGTAACAACTTGAATAAAGTAGTTTGGCAATATAAGCCATTGAAACTTGTAAGGCATGAAAAATAAAGCAAATAATGATACAATATCAAATGACAAAATGTCATATAGTTGGGGAAATAACTTGAAATACTAAATTAATTTCTATTTATGAAAAAAGGATGAATGGATATTATATGATCAATCCAAAACAATTTACCTAACAGCGAAAGTATCATATATACATATGTGTGTATGTGTATGTGTGTGACATAATTCTTCCTTTAATTAAATGATTATTTAAAATTCCCAATTCAATATCCAAGAATTCATTTAAACCCATAAAATTCATTGTGAAGGGATTTTCCATTAAAAAGAGTTGTTCAAAAAGGCACAATTTCTTTATAATAATTAAACAAGAACACGTGTTTAATAGGTGTTTAATTTTCTAATCTAAAGTGTGAAAATGACAACTCTTCTCTCTGAGGTGTTTTTTTTTCACACAAGTACATTCAGAAAGACAGATTTTCCCCATTATGTGAAAATGAAAGACCATATTTCTGCTGGCATGAAAATAACATCCAGTAGACAGACAGACTGACAGATATCTATGTCCAAAGACGCAACCATTCTCTCCTTTACATTATAGGGTAAAATAGGACATTAAGGGAAGCTATTGCCCCACCCCCAGCTAAGGAAATCTGAGAATCATAAGAAATCAACACCTTAAGAGGGATAAACTCTTGGGTTAAAATAGTTTCATCTTCTACTCCATCTTGAATAATTCTTGAATTGTGAAAATGCTCTTTTTAAACTGTATGTGCATATTCTAAATCTATGATCCTATATTTGACATATCTGGTTATAATATTTACTGATATAGGTAGCATTACAAAATCCCAGGTTAAAACTGTCCAAATGGACAAAAAGGTAATTACTGAAAAATTCTGCAATGTATTTCTTGTGTGCTATTCACATTCTCTATAAATCCAAACTTGCTCTTCTATCTATGTGACTAGCTGGTGATGTATCTTTAATTATTACAGAAACACACATCAAATGGAAATAGGATTTTCTTTCAAAGCCTTTAGCAGTACATCAATTAGCCAAATACACAATCTTTTGTACGATCATAACACCCTTTACAGAAGCTAGTCTGTCCCTTCCAGTTTATATTCTCTTGGCAAAACCACCATCTACTGCTTATGTTAAGCATCTGATTGTCAGATTTGTTCAAACTGAATATTCATGACAGAGAATTAACCACTTCCTGCCTAAAAAGTAAGAAAATGCAAATCTGCCATGACAGGTAGCATATAGGTACAACTCACACACCTATAGAGAAGCCAGTTTTGCCATGACATTTTACAATATTTGGGGGGAGTAAAAGCAGGGAAAAAAGGGAAGGTAAAATATCATTTCCAATATATATATTAACATGTCCTAGGCATACATTTCTTTCCTGAAAATGTGATTAAGTGCTCTTTGTTTGCATTTAAACTGTCAGACTCTGAGCATGAGGCATGCTTTTTTAAAAAAAAGTATTTCAATCATTTCCTTTATCTCCCCCTCTCTCGATGTACATGTATTAACACAGGCTCTCACATGCCAACAAACTAAAGGTTTAAAAAAAAGGAAATAAAGAACCTGAAGAAACCAAATAAGAAGAAAAGACAATGCTTTACCTTTATAGGATAATTTCAGTCTTGGCACATTATTCTTCACATTTTGATAGTTTGCTCTTGCAGCTAGTAATACTCCCCAGAAAAGACAGGCAATCCTCCGGAGCCAACCCATGCTGAAGACAGTGTAGGTCCTTCCGCGGCTTCAGTGTTCTATCCTGTAGAGTGCAGCCACAGAAGTTCAAACAATCTGGAAACTGGAGGTAACAGGTGATTTGGGTCAGTTTCATTCATAAATGCAGACAATCAAGACCTCATGGCAATTCTAACATCTCTTCTTCTGTAACAGTCACTGGGGCAGAGAAACTTCAAACCCTCCAAAAAAAAAAAATGAGGCAGGCACTGGATAATGAGGCACAACTGTTGTGTGGAAAGAAAAAAAAATTAACAAGGGCTGCTGCAGTGGTGCTTAAGGAGCAGTCCCTTTTATCTATGCTACTCTGATAGCCGGTGGCAGAAGCTAATCCTGCTCTCTGCTTCATTCGGCTCTGTGGCAACAGAATGAAAGGAAAACAGAGAGAGACTGAGAGAGAGAGAGAGAGAGAGAGAGAGAGAGAGAGAGAGAGAGAGAGAGAGAGAGAGAGAGAGAGAGAGAGAGAAACTGAGCAGCAGCACACCGACTTTTCCTGTACACATGCAGGAGAGAGATGACACAAGATCCCACAGACAGGTTTTCCCAACACTCACTAGACTAGCTGACAATGGGAGAACAGGCAAGCTCAACCCACTCCCCTTCCCTGCTGTCACACAACACATGCAAAAAACATCTACCAGAGATTAGAGGAGGGAACATAAACCTCCAGCGTGCTTGTGAAAGGCATGTAGCTATAAATTTACTTCCCAAAGCATAAGCTATTTAATAGCCATTTTTGGGTGCAATTTTGATTTAAAAAAATCTAAATTCTGCTACCTACATAAATAATAGCCCATGTGTGTTGTATAATTCTGCTAGAATGTATGCACCGTAAAAACAGAGGAAACAACAACAACCTGAGTCCTTTCCATCAATGTAAGTTTGCCATTGAAGGTTTTAAAATCTTGTTAGAGAACATCCTGCCACCCCCCTCCCACTCACAGTTCCCCTACCTCCCCAATTTCGGTGAAAAAATTCCAAGAAAAACCTATTCCAACCATCAGTTCAAGACAAGTATAGGTCCACTGGGAATTATAAATTACAACAGGGGATTCTCAAAAGGATTCTCTGAATTTAAAAATGTCTACAGTTTTCCAGCTTCTGGAATGCTCTGGATGATATTTTTAATACTATGCATCTCATTAATTAAAACCATTTTTTTCTTGTCTTATCTCAAAGAGCAAAGGAAGACCACAAAGTTCAGTAAATCCCTGCTGAGTGTCAAGGACCAATAAAAAGAATTTCCACCCCCTTTTTCTTTCCACCCCCAACTCCATTTCTTGACCTGAGGAAGGGTTATTAAACTTTCTATAGCATGCATATGTAGGTATTCAAGCACCATGCCATCATTTTCTAAACCAGTATATTGTGTGAGCAGGCTAATTCTTCTCTCTGCCCACCCCCCTCAGTAATCTCAGGTCACAGGTACTTTGACATACTAGGATCAGGCAGACTTTATTTTTCCTTCTTTCCTATCTCCTTTTACAGTGTACACTAACAAGCAGTTGGCTTTATTTCTGAATTCAAATGAAAGTTCACACTTTACAAAGGAGGGAGAGGATTTCTGTTGTGTTGTTGTTTGTTCCTGGGTTTCAGTTAAAAATGTAAACACTTACAATGAAAGACCGTTCTTTTATAAGGGAAGACCTAAGTGCTCAGTCATCAACACTTTCTCATTACTCAATAATCTGCAGGGTAGTGGGAAAAGGGCAAGAATTTGGGGGTATGGTAGGGAGTGGGACAGACAGGTGGTAAGGAAAGTGTTCTCTTTCTTTATAAGACTAATTCATTAAGCTGACATTACTGTATCTGACACATATAGTAAGTCTATTGATAAGGCAGTAGTGATAAGAATATAATCCCAAAATAACGTTGATTTTAGTGATTTACACCCTTGCTATCCTAAACACTTTCATGTTCCAGGCAGTGAATTAAAGCTACAAAATGACCAGAAAAGCCTATCAGTTTTCCAAAGAGTACTTCCTATAGACTGTTACACAGTAAAGGAATTCATATCACCTTGGGATTATTTGGAGAATTGCCCTAATGAATTATCCTATTATAGATCAAAAGTAATTAGTGCTTTTAAAAATCCCCACTAAAAATGCACCCAACTCACTAATATTTTCTTTTAGTTGCATTAGTTAAAATGAAGGTAATGATACTGCACTTATTCTGAATAAGAGAAGAGGAGAAAATTCTGTTTTTTCTAAAGTAAAATGAATAATTCTTTAAAGTTTATTCATTTTATGCAAAAATCTAGCCCTAAAATATTTTATATGCTCCAAATAAAAAGGTTTCTTGAAAAATTTAGTATAAAAAAGGTAAAAGGTGACTTAATAAGAGAAGGTCTTTAAACTGAATTTTGAACCAGAGAATATGGGGAAAATTATTTTATTTTTAAGAACAAATAATATAAATCAATGTTTGTGCCTGGAATTTAGTATAACCAATGTATGTATTACTTTTGAAAGTCTTTCCTTATTTTTATTTACAGTAGGAATTGTTCTTATGTTCCAAATTTTAAATCAACTTGAGGTTTTTTTAAGGGATGTTAGAAAAAAAAAGATGAATAACTTTATATTTTCTTTTCTGTAGTTTTTCAGCTAACAAAACTAGTTAACTGCCAAAGTGCTGTAAAATTTCTGAAAGAAAATGTTATATATATATATATATATTTTTTTTTTTTCATTTCCCCTTGGTGCCTAGTATAGTGGCCAGGTACACAGCAGATGACCCATGAATGAATGAAAACAGTTGGATTTTCAGATTCTCCAAACTGAAACCTGAGGTGAGGTAAGGAAAAAACAGCAGGGAAGTATGTTAAAAAGGAGCCAGAATAAACACACACTTTGGGATCAGAACTACATGGGTTAATTATAAACTTTTTTTTAGGTTTTAAATTATAATTTCTACTGACTTCTGAAATGACTAGATCTCTTATGTCTTGTCAATTGTTTATTTTCTGCCTACCATCTACTAGTAATCTTTCAAACTGTACCATTGCCAACTTAGTTTCTATTATCTTTTCTTTTAACCTCAAGTTTTTATATTTTTTCAAGCTTTCATATATGGTTATTTCATAGCACTGTATCAAGTTCAATTTAGATGTCAAACGTGATAAAAATAATGATGAATTTTCTGCCTTAGATATATTAATATACAACTTTTTCCTGTATGGATTGAAATGGAATAAAATAATTTCCCACTTTGGAGTAACTGGTTCTGAAAAAAAAAAGATTTTTCATTACACAATGACTTTTATTTTCTAGAGAATGGGCTTTTTCAATTTCCCCTGATGTATAGAAAGAACCTAGAAGATCCTATCAAAATGGAAAGACCTTGAATATAGCTGTGTGGAAAACTATACATCTGTCCTCCAAGGACTAGTACAGTTAGGTTCAGAGAGGTTTGTCATTAGGTTGGCCTCATGGTGATGAATTTTGCAGGCCACAGCAATTCTCCAAGACTGTCAACTAAATCATAGAAGAGTCATGATGTGTGCCTGTGAAAGAATTGCTCACATTAATGATGTCTCAGGTTCTTAGAGTAAGAGGTATAATGTTCTATACAGTATGGAGAGGCTAAAACTGAAGAGTCCTTAAATAAAATTATTCTGTGTTGTAACAAATCATTTTTAGGGTAAAATCTATGATTTTCCTTTCCTTTTTTTTTGGGGGGGAGCTCTTATCCTAAGAAACTCCCTCTTCTAATATTCTAATAAAAATCTACAACTCTTCCTCAATTTACAATCTCAGAGAGTTGCCTAGGGGCATTGTCAGTCTAAGTGATGATGATAACAGCTAGTATTTATATGATGCTTTAAGATTTTCAAAGTACTTTACATATGCTATCTCATTTGATCCTCACTGTAACCCTGTGGGTAGTTGCTATTATTACTTTATATTATTACTGATGAGGAAACAGAGGCTGAGAAGTTTAATGACATGGGATTTGAACTCCAGGCTTCCCGGGATAAACTGATGACTTAAAATCTCATCGTGCTGTTTAACTTGGTCTTGTATGCTTAACACTTTGCCAGCTCCCTCAACCTCCTCTCCCTTATGATGGGAGAGCTGGAAAGGAGAGCGTTGAACTTCACTCAAAGCTGTCTTTCAAAGAAGGCAGGACCTGGACTTTCCAACTCACTTTCCACTTTCCATCTGTAGCTTTGCTTGGTTTGAACTCCACTAAACAAGACTGCACTGGAAACCTTCTCTCTTATTCCTTTCCACCTCCACTTTTGGGCTTCCTTTTGTATGTGGTTTTCTCTCACTGGATTGTAAGCTCCTTCAGGGCAGAGACTATTTTTTGCTTTCTTTTCTTTTTCTTTCTTTCTTTTTTTTTTGTTAGTCAATGAGGTTAAGTGACTTGCCAAAGGTCACACAGCCAGTAAGTGTTATGTATCTGAGGCTGGATTTGAACTCAGGTCCTCCTGAATCCAGGGCTGGTGCTCTATACACTGCACCACCTAGCTGCCCCTGTCTTTTTCTCATATGTATCCCCAGCACTTAGCATACTGTTTGGCAACATGGTAGGAACTTAACATGTGTTTATGGACTTGGATTGAGAGTCAAGGATTCTATTTAGTATGTCACCTATCTAACTCCATTTTATTATTATCCTAACTTTAGTGATGCCGAAATGGAAAATGAGAGGGTAAGTGACATGTCCTGGATGACAGTCAAAGGAATGACTGGAACCCATGTAGGCCCAATACCAAGGGCAGTTCTCTACATAGAACTCCACACTGCTCCTCATGAAATAATTTTGATCATTTCACTGATGTATTTTGCCTACTAATGAAAAATTAATGGAAATGAAAACAAACTTCTCAATTTTTACATTAGCTTCAATGCTTAGTTCCACAATATATGTTTGTCATGTTCAATTTTTTTAATACACTAAATTGAGAAAGGCAAAAGGCAAGTTTTAAAGAAACTTTAATAAACCGACCACTGTTTGGTAACCTCTCCTTTAGTACAAAACTTCAAAGTTCTATCTCCATCAGGTGAAAATATATGTATTTAAATTTTTGCAAATAAAACCTTAGAAGTTAGGAAGCATCAGGGTTATTCAAGAGATTTGATTTGCAAAACACTGAAGTCGAGATACTTTTCTAAACTTGTTTGCACCTCCCTTCAGTTATTTGCTTGTTGTTTTAGTTAATAGACATAGCCTCTACCTAGAGGGCATGCCATCCTTAGACACAGACTTGATCTTTAAGAGAAACATCTTATGTTAGGAGTTTTAAAGTAAGCTGGTTAACGAGTTCTTCCAAGGAACTAGGCTATAAAAAAACACAACCCTAATAACAAACAAACAAATATTCAGTAATCTTCCTAAGGTGTGATTCTTTTGAGTCATGTG